ACAGAGTTAGGACCGGAAGGTCCACAGAGTTAGGACCAGAGGGTCCACAGAGTTAGGGCCAGTGAGCCCACAAAGTTATAGCCTCGAGTGGCTAATATGTGTTATATGTGGTATTCTGGGGAACTCACTAAGCTTTGTGCTTACCGTGTTAGGTGTTATATGTTTCAGGTTTTCTCAGGACCGCGGGACGGCACCGGCTTGATTGTACACACTAGAGAAAGAGTTATATTTTGAGGATCCTGGATAATTAATGGAGTTGTGCTTGTAATATGAATAAACGAGATTTCTATACTATATGTTATGAAAAGTATGCGGTTTTAAAATGAAAAATCTGTTTGAAAAAGTACGGTGTTACATGTACCTTTAGGGCACATCTTAGAAAATCGCTTTATAATTAATAAAGAAGAAATATACTTACAGTAAAAACATTATACACAAAAATATCCTACAAGTAAATAAATAAAGAAATTAATAGAACAAAAGAAGTTAAGGGCAAATACTAAATTGCTTGTAATAGCAACCAACTTTCATGTTTCTCCATTTTAGACAATTTATTATTCTTTTTGTCCGTCTAAGGGAACTAAATATGAATACTATTCTTTTCATCATCATCGTCATCTACATTCACATTTTTGCAGGTTATCTTAGTCACTTTTTAGTGACAAAAGTATACCAACTAAACTTTTTCCCGACCCTCGGATAAATAAAAATAGTCAGTTCGCTAAAATGAATATACATTAAAACCGTTATGATTAATGTTTGTGATTTTGATAAGGAGTGAGTACAGGCATTCACAAGCAATTTTTTTCATGTGTTAAATTCCACAACGCAAACAATTAAAACAAAAATAGGAAAAACAAAAGCAACCATATAATATACACCAATCCCAAATCATTCAACTTTCTCATAATCTATAATATATCATCTTCCTGCTTCTGTTCCTCCTTCTGCATCTCCCATGGCGGAATCTGTTTGACTTTGACTTTGACTAGTTCCTTGACCATGGTGGGGTAGGAGCCACAGACGAGACCGCTCCAATGAAATCTCCCTTGAAATCTCGGGGGGGCTGTTTCCGGCAATGACAGAAAGGCGACAAACAGGACACGTTGACTGCTTTCTCAGCCACATGTCTATGCAAGAAAGATGAAAACTATGCCCACATTTTGGCATTATTCTTAGCACCTCTTTCTCTTGATACTCCCCTAAACATATAGTACACCTGTCATTTGTCAATAAAAGTCAACTAACCATGAAATAACAGCTAAAGATTATAAGCCAGGGTGTAGGGTAGTTAGGACTAAACTTACTGGGCATCATCCATGGAACCGAATGCTTCACGGTCAAACTTCATTGTAGGAATGGCTGCAACCATGGCTGGTTCAAGGCCTACCACCCGATGCTCTTGCTGTCATTGTGTTTCCAAAGGTTAAAATGCAAAAACACCAACCGAAAATATAAACATAAACATGTAAATACAATGATATGATATAAAGAAATAAAAGTAGAATGCTATAATACACAAATTAATGAAAGTACGTTATTATTTCTTGCATTTGGCCCAATGACAAAAGTTCCCATGTTGGGATAACTTGAATTTAACATTACCTATTTGCCCATAGTATCTACTTTATCTACATAATCTGATATTTTGTCATCTTCTTGAAGGATATATTAGACGATTGTTTGATAGTCATACAAACCTTTTTGACTTTACATAAAAGTTAATACCTACCGAATTCTATATAGAAGAATCCAAAGCATGCAACTTACATATCACATACAACAATTACGATTAAAAGTTTTCCTTATAAATTTATGTAACTAGATCGAATAGCAATAAGGGTATTTTCGGAAATTCTAAAATCATGAACCTTCTCCGGGGAATTTATCTATCTTGTTAACCATTAACCGACATTGTTTCAATGAACATTCCAAGCTACTTGAAGTTCAAATCAATTTCAAAACCGTAAATGAACCATTTACAAGCACGGAATCAATTAGTTTCCGCTCTTATTGATCAAAATTTTGAATTCTAATTCAGAAAATATCAAACAAGCATATATGGTATGAATATCCAATTTATTTTGCAAGTATATATCAACATACATGTTATAGATATAAAAAGAAAGGTTTAAGGATCAAAAACATACCCTCTCAAGGTCAATCCTTGAGTCAATCTCGAACAATTCACGTGATTCGTATCGACGAAAACGCCCACAAACGAGTCTAGCACAGACAAATACAATGAAAGTGGCACTCATTGCAAATCCTATAACTGTTGTAACTAAATTCATTGTTTTACCAAACATCTAATTCCTCTAATCACAAAAGCTCCCCAAAAATTTAACAAAATACCAAAAAAACAAAATGAAATTTGAACCCCACAAACTTTATACGGCACAAGATTCAAGAACAAAGGAAAAGGATTGAGGAAACAAATCAAGATTAAGACCCCAGATTAACAATGAGTAGAAAGCAATAAAAATAACCGTAATTGTTCAATCAATTTCCATTAAAGATTATAGAAGACCCAACAGAATGGAAGAATAAGCTTAGAACCCTAATTACAGAGTAAGCTTGAAGAACAAAGGATTCAAAGGTATGGTCATTAAGTAAGTAAGATCCAGATTAAGCTCCATGATTAAGAATTAGTAATTCATCAATCTCTAATCAAGATCACGGAAAACCTTATTGCAAAAACACAAGAAACAAAACTATGAACATGTTTTAATTGACAACAGAAAGGAAATAAGGAATTGCAACCAAAGATAACATGGGACAAAATAATAGACTTTTTCGCAAGGTTTCAGGAAACCCAGCAGCAAAAGACTTCAACTGCTGACGAAATCAACAAAAAACACCAAAAAAGATTGAACATTGACTAAAACCCAGATCAAGATTCATTCAAAAACGAAGAAATTTACAGAGGATGGAGGGAAAATAGTGGCCAACAAATGGAATCCACGTCTCTTTGGGTGGACTCAAAGTTAAAGAGTGTGAGGGCCATTGATAGACAGAGGTGTAGATGAGAAGAGAGGAAATTTGAGACCATTCTTCTTTCTCATTTTCTTCTTGGCTTGCTTCTTTGGATTTGTATCTTAGTGGGTCCACTTCCATGGCTATGGGACCCACCTTTGGAGAGTGTTGCCTGGATTTCTAATCTAAATTCGGAATTATTGGATCAAAGATATATATATATGGCAAAAAGGCTAAATAAACAAATAGAAAGATAAGAAAAGAAAAGGAAAGTGAAAACACACTCCATTAAGTAAATAAATTCCAAAAAAATCCCCAACAAAACGACCTGAAAAAGGAGAATCTGTAGCAGCTTTCATGTTTTTAGGTGTTTTTCCCTTTTTATCTAAGAAAAATATATATTTATATAATATAAATTTTCAATATGTATATATTAGAACTTAGAAGGACTAGTAACTCAAACATGGATTGAGATGGTTATTATTATTTAGTTTGTTTATAGTTTGTTTTTTTTTTTCTTTTTTTAAAGAATAAAGACACGTATCAAATGCAACATTTTATTACATGATTTAATATTTATGTCCGAAAGACACAAGTTTTATCCTTGTTCCGACAGAGTGAATCAAATTCATTTGGAAAAAGAAAAGTTTATCCATTTAGAGAGATGAGTGTAGCGTGTGAACCTCGAAAACTAATAAAAACCAAAAATATAGTACTATAAATATATAAATCTAAAATTAAAATTAAAATTCCAGTTCTTAAAGCAAAGCTTTCAAATTTTTTACTTGGGAAAAAAGATTATATATTGATTCTTGATGAGACAAAGGTGGAGACCTTTTGGTGATTCTTGCTTGATTCTCCCACTTTATGCCTCCCAAGGTTGTTCCCCTTTGGGTAAACTATGTTCAAAGTCCCTTGAGTTTCAATTTTATCAAAGCTAAGTCCTTCAAGCTTCATTTTTCATATGTTCGTCCTCAAAATTACAATCATTAACAAACTTGGACCTTTTGTCGTGTTTGAACATCAATAAATAGTTGCAAATGGCGCATGTTGACATTGTTCTTAGTTCATTGTACCAACTCATCTAAATATATATAATACTACAACAGTGTTTATATTTCTTAATAAAAAATTAAAACTACATCTTTTGTATATATATTTTCAGTGTACTAAACAAGATTACCCCTCAAAATAACCTCTTGGAAGTTTGATAACGAATTTGGAAAACTCAAAATCAAAATTAGCTTGTCATAACCGATAGTTTGTTCCTATACATTCAAATAAGGTTGTCTTTTAGTTTTAAGAAGCAAATGTTCAGCGTTTTGACAAGAAGCTATAAAGACAAAAAAGACCAAAAGAAAAAAGATCGAAAGGAATGTGGGAGCGAAGCTTAACGTGACCTACATACAGAAAGCCGAGTTGGATTCGATCACGAGCATGCTTAGGTTTGCAAATCCATTTTACTAGCTAACTTGCAAGGTTTAATAAACTAAGTTTCTCACCTACAATTGATTAATAGTTTTTTTCTATTATAACACCTAAAGAATACATTAATATGATCATATTCCAAAATTACATATTTTGTCTATTATAGGATTTGAATCTCTTGGATATATAGGCCATGTTTGACAAACTACTTGAAAAAAAATAGTTTTTAAGTTATAGTTACTTTATAAACGACGATAAGCTATTTTTATGGTAAAATTACAATAAATTAGTTTATTTTTGTCAAACACAGTCCTAAACTCTTAATAAATGATACATTTTGAAGACATCCAATACCGTTACACCAAAGACCATGTGATAATCAGTAATAATTAAACACACAAAAATAAGTCAAAATTATGCCTAAAAAAAATTCTAAACTTGCAATCAAAGAAAGCAAGATTAATTATTTCAAATCAATATTCTTAACCTGTCAAATTTAACTCCAATGGGACCGGATTGGAACCTACTTTAATCATTTGATTTTAGAATATATATATATATATATATATATATATATATAT